CCAACTGTACTTTCTGCTTCCACATCCTTCTCCAGGGTCTTTTCCTCCTGTCAAGTCCTCACCACCTATTTACAGGAGTGGCAGGAAGGGATGTTGTAGAGCATTCCAGAGTATTCCTGGCACTATCCCAGCAGTGGGGAGCACTCAGCTCTTGGACTTCAGTCCCTTGATCCAGGGATGACCTGGAGATGGGGATGTGCTGTGGGATGACCTGGGGATGGGAATGTGCTGTGGGGTGACCTGGGGAGGGGGATGTGCTGTGGGGTGAGCTGGGGATGGGGACGTGCTGTGGGGTGACCTGGGAATGGGAACGTGCTGTGGGGTGACCTGGGGATGGGAACGTGCTGTGGGGTGACGTGGGGATGGGAATGTGCTGTGGGATGACCTGGGGATGGGGATGTTCTGTGGGGTGACCTGGGGATGGGAATGTTCTGTGGGGTGACCTGGGGATGGGAACATGCTGTGGGGTGACCTGGGGATGGGGATGTGCTGTGGGGTGACCTGGGGATGGGGATATGCTGTGGGGTGACCTGGGGATGGGAACGTGCTGTGGGGTGACCTGTGGATGGGAATGTGCTGTGGGGTGACGTGGGGATGGGAACGTGCTGTGGGGTGACCTGGGAATGGGAACGTGCTGTGGGGTGACCTGGGGATGGGAATGTGCTACCAAAGGTGGGAGATGCCTGGAAATTCCATGCTCTGAGGTTGTCCTGAGTTTTGCAGCTCTTGATGTGTGAGGAATTAAGGTCTTACTTTGCACTCGAGGGTTATCAGAGAATCACAGGCTGGGCTGGGTTGGGAGGGACTTCAAAGACCATCTTGTTCCACCCCCTGCCATGGGCAGGGACACCTTCCACTATCCCAGGTTGCTCCAAGCCCTGTCCAACCTTGAACACTTGCAGGGATGTGCTTTGGGGGTCACTCCTCCATCCAGGAGGTTGTCAAGGAGTTTGTGGAGAGTCAAACACAGAAAGGGTGAGAGGTCACACGGTGGACTTTGTCTGAACTTCATCCAAGAATGGTGCAGTTTGTTTAAATAAATAGCTTGGGACTAATTTTGGCTTTTCTGTTGGGGAATTCCTTTGTGGTTATGTGTGGTGTATCCCTCCAAATGGACTTGGAGCCATGACATCCACCTGATGGAGAAACCATCCCTCCTGAAGTGATGTCCTTCAAGGGGTCAGGAAAATCATCAGAAAACCCGTATAGAGACTTCCACAGGAGTATCCCAGTGGGAGCTTTGTTTGTTTGTAGTGGCTCTTGATTAAATAAAAATCTCATGACGGGTCTTCCAAAAGGTAGGAAATCATCTCTGAATGGAAAACTAACGTTTGCCTTTGTTTTTTCCTTTCCAGACTCACTGAACCTTCGGGGTACGTCACGGATGGGCCTGGGAATTACAAATACAAGACAAAATGCACCTGGCTCATTGAAGGAAGGTGAGTGCTGGGAACAGCCTGGGGTTTCCTCTTGGTTATGGTGGCTTTTAGGTGAGGTTTATCTGCGTTAAATATTTTTATATCTCGTGATTCGTTCTGGCTGTTCCTAAAACTGAATAGGGCAGCGCTCAGTAAATAAGTTTTTGGGGTGTTTTTGTGCAACTGAGCCCTCCAGACTGACTCAGGATTGAGAGGTTTGTGTTGAAACAGCACGTGGTAAACAAAAATCAGTGTGTTTGTTTAAGTAGTGAAGGATTGGGAATTATTGAACTGATATCAGAGGGGAACATTCAGTGTTAGGACTCACAACACATGGGATTTTTTGGCAGCATGAAAAACAAAGAGGAAACTCTCTGAAAGCCCCTGTTTATGAAAAATCAGTTTTTTGAGTGATCCTTTAAATCCTTCTTTGCTCACTGGGCCATGAGGACTTCACAAGGACCACTCACCTTTTTTACAAAGCTTTTCTAAACTGGGATAAATCCCTCAGACCTCACTTCCTGCCCTTCCTGGGTTCGATGCTTGTTTTGCAGAGATTTTTAGGAGCAGCACTTTTGGTGCACATCCTCTGTCACCCCATGGATGGTGCAGCATCTAAACTTGTTGAAATACAATTTTCATAGAACCAAGCTGATGCCAGGTCTGAAAAATCCATTTCTTTTTTGGCTGTTCAGTGGTGGGGTGTGATGCTGTGTGGTGACAGCTCTGTGTTCAGTCACATTCCATGTTGTTCCCTGGATCTGGAAGTGGAGAGGTCAGGGAACTGGAACAAGTCATGTGAGAGCATGGATTTGGACTGGATGCTGTAAACTGAGGCCTCTTGGCATCTTGGAGGATCAGAAATTGGTAAAACCCAGAGCACAGTTTTCCTTGGTCTTCTCCTGTGGGTGGCATGGACAGTGGGATTGAGGCCCCTCAGCAAGTCTGCTGTGACCCCGAGATGTGTGCTGTGGTCACTGAGATGTGTGGTGTGGTCACCAAGATGTGTGGTGTGGTCACCAAGATGTGTGCTGTGGTCACAGGCTGCAGGGAAGGGATGGAATGGCATCCAGGGGGAGCTGGACAGCCTGGAGAGGTGGGAATGTGGGAAACTCATGACGTTCAACAAGGCCAAGTGCAAAGTGCTGCTCCTGGGTGGGGACAATCCCAGCACAAACATAGACTGGGAGAACGGATGGAGAGCAGCCCTGGGAGAAGGATTTGGGGGTGTTGGTGGGAGAGAGGCTGGAGATGCCCCAGCCCAGATCTCTCCATGCCCTGGGCTGATCCCCCAGCATGGACAGCAGGGCAGGGGGGGATTCTACCCCTGTCTCAGCTGAGACCCCCCTGCAGAGCTGCCTCCAACCCTGGGAACAACAGCACAAGGACGTGGAGCTGCTGGAGAGAGTCCAGAGGAGGCCCCGGAGCTGCTGCCAGGGCTGGAGCCCCTCTGCTCTGGAGCCAGGCTGGGAGAGCTGGGGGGGTTCCCCTGGAGAAGAGAAGGCTCCAGGGAGAGCTGAGAGCCCCTGGCAGGGCCTAAAGGGGCTCCAGAAGAGCTGGAGAGGGACTGGGGACAAGGCATGGAGGGACAGGCCAAGAGGGAATGGATTAAGCTGAAGGAGGGGAGATTTGGGTGGGATATTGGGAAGGAATTGTAACTGAGGGTGGGGAGGCCCAGGTTGGGCAGAGAAGCTGTGGCTGCCCCTGGATCCCTGGAAGTGTCCAAGGCCAGGTTGGAGCAACCTGGTCTAGTGGAAGGTGTCCCTGCCCATGGCAGGGGGTGGAACTGGATGTTCTTTAAGGTTCCTTTCCAACCCAAACCATTCCATGATTCCATGTTTGGGAGGTCTGTTGACTGGGGCTTGGGGGAAATGGGTATTCACTGAGTCTACTTCAGCCATTTGTTTGGGATGAGAGAGTTAAGTTCCTAAGCTCCCAAGATACTCCAAGCTGAGGGCTGAGTTTATCCAGAGAGCCATCCAGAACCCTGGAATTGGGAGCCAACCACTCACCATTAACTATGTGAAGGAGCCCCATCCTTTAAGGTGGTTGAGATCAAAAGTTGGCTGCTCCCAGTGGCAACACCTTTTAATTTCTGTAGGTAAGAGGAACCCAACTGCAGAGAGTTGGCAATTAGAAATGATTAAAAAATGTTTCACAAGAATGTTATTCCAGACAAACCAGCCTGAGACATTCCAGCACAGCCAGATGAACCATCCCAACTTCTGTTTTTAAAGGATATCGTGACTCATATTTTTATCAGAAGTCAAGTGCTGCCCCTGAGTCCTCGATAAAGTCACCAAAACTGCTCCTCCAGCCTCGATTGCTTCTGCTTCCTAGAAAACCATCACTTTGTGGGGTTTAAAATGAGATGTTTTGTTGCTGGAGAGGCAGAAAAAAAATGTTCCTCCCTGTTCCATGGCCAGGCTTAGAGGTTGGAATCCTTTTCCTGTTTGTCCCCTGCTGTCAGAGGAGGGTGGTGGAACAGAGAGGAGATAATGGTGCTGATTAGAGCAGCTGGAAAATGCAGCCACCTGAAAAGAGCCCCAGCTCTGCTGCCAAGAGTAAAATTCCCAGACATCTGGAGTTGGGAAGCAGTGCCTGCAAAGCTTTTCAGGTCTGAGTGCTGGCATTGCTGTGCTGGAGGGATTTGGGATTAGCAGGGAAAGGTACAGTCCAGTGTGCCATTGGAGGCACTGAGAAATTCAGTATAAAATAAACCACGTTTTCCTTCCTGTTCTCCTTTCCCTTCTGCACAATTCCTGGCTCTTCCTGGCTGGTGCCTGTGCTGTGCCCTCATCCTGGGGGTGTCCTTGAGTGAGGCATCATCCCCATCCCTCCTCCCTCAGGTCCCTTTTCCCATAAAAACACTCAGTTGATCCAAAGAAAAACCCAAATGGCCCAACCCCCCACCCAAATCCAACTCAGTTTTACATTGTTTCATTCCCCAAAGGAATAATTCCATCATTTCATCATTCCATGATGTTGTTTCTCAGGGTTAAGTCGGGATGGAGTTTGGGAGAGCTCGGAGTGAGGCGTCATCCCCATCCCTCCTCCCTCAGGTCCCTTTTCCCATAAAAACACTCAGTTCATCAAAAAAAAAAGCCCCAAATGGCCCAAACCCCTCTCAAATCCATCTCAATTTTCCATCATTTTATTCCCCAAAGGACTAAATCCATTACTCTCTAATTCCACAGTGTTGCTTTTCAGGGTTCAGTGAGGGGATGGACTTTGGGAGAGCTCGGTGAGGTGAATCGATCCCTCCCAAAATCCCCAATTTGTTCTTCCCTGGGAGTGTGAGACAAGGCAGGTGAAATCCATGGAGCCTGACGATCCCAAGGCACAACCAGGTGCCTGAGATGGTGCAGATGAGGGTCCACTGATGAGTTGTTGGCTGGAGCAAAAAGACTCTTTTTGTTCCCAGCCTGAACCTTTATTGATGGACCCTCTGACTCCATAGTTTTGAGACCATGGCTACTCTTTGTCCCTCTTTTTTTTAAAGCAGGACATTATCCATGAGTTCCACCTGCTGCTCTTTTTCCAAAGGCCTGGAGCAGGTGGTTGTGCCTGTCAAAAAAATAGAATAACTTGCACAATAACTCCCAAAAGAATTCGGCTCCTGTGGGAAGGAACGACTCTGGCACAATGAAAATTATTGATTTATTCCATTAGGATGAACGGGGATTTCATCTGAATCCAAAGGCAGTGCTGATGGAGAGATCCTGATCACTTGGATCTGTCCTTTCCACAGCTTCAGCTGTGGGTGGGAACAAGCAGTGCTGACACAGATTCACTTTTATTTATCTCGGTTCCAAGCACAGTGTAGGGTTGTTTCCACCCTCCTGGAGCTGAGCCCTAATTCGGGTGTTTGCTGTGGCTTCTCTGGGATGTTCTTTAGGTGGATCTTTGCACATTAACCATGAAACAAATGGTGTCTTACCATGAGGAGAAGCTCCACGTGGCACCCAGAACCCCCCCCTGCCCTGGGCTGATCCCCCAGCCTGGGCAGAGGGCAGGGGGGGATTCTGCCCCTCAACCCCTGTCTGAGGTGAGACCCCCCTGCAGAACTGCTCCAGCCCTGGGAACAACAGCACAAGGACGTGGAGCTGCTGCAGAGAGTCCAGAGGAGGCCCCGGAGCTGCTGCCAGGGCTGGAGCCCCTCTGCTCTGGAGCCAGGCTGGGAGAGCTGGGGGGTTCAGCTGGAGAAGAGAAGGCTCCAGGGAGAGCTGAGAGCCCCTGGCAGGGCCTTAAGGGGCTCCAGGAGAGCTGGAGAGGGACTTTTGACTTGTTTGGATGTGCACTTTGGAGGGGCTTCCCTCGGGAGGGCCGTGCGTTCTGCACAACCAATAAAGTAAGGAGAAGGATTGGTGCCAACTCCTGGGCAAATCCATCACCTCAGGCCATCATAACCATACCAGCCTGCAGAAAGTCCCTTGAACAAGGAAAGAGCTCTCCTTACCTCCCCAGTGGTGCCTGGGATTCTTCACATGCGTTGTCCATGGAGGTTTTCCTGGCAAAGCCCTTTCCTTAGGAGAGTCAGCACCAGGGAAGAGCCGAGGGCTGGCTGGTCCTGCTCTTTGGTGTCTGCTGGTGATGAGGGGGAAAGGTTTAAGGACACTGTTTTCTGACCATAAAGAACCTGTTGGTTAATAGCAGGGGAGCTGCACACCCAAAACAATTAAGTCCCAGCGTGTTTGATGCATCTGCAGTGACACGAATCACTCAGTTTTAGTCTGCTTTAGAGCAGATCATCCCACCAGAGGAGGAGCGTTTTGCCCTGTGTGTGTGTGAGTTGGCCGATTACAAATCTTTTCATTTATTTTTTTCCTTCTTTCCTTTATTTATTTTGATTAATCTGTTTATTTTTCTTTTCTTTGCAGGCCAAACACAATCCTCAGGCTTCGGTTCAACCACTTTGCCACGGAGTGCAGCTGGGACCACTTGTATGTGTATGATGGAGACTCCATCTATGCTCCCTTACTGGCAGCTTTCAGGTAAGTCCCCCTTGGTAAGGCTCTTAATGATATTTTTAATTTAGAACCTGACTTAAATGTGGCTTCTGTCAGTGCCAGATGTGTTGCAGGGATCCAAATATCTAACCCTGCAAGTGCAGCAGTGTAGCCAGTGTGTCCTTTTGTGCAGTTGTCATCAGGATAAACAATTAAGGAGTTGTTTTTTGCTGGTACAATGGACAAATCGTGTCACTGCACTGTGGCATGGAAGTGTTATGTTTTCATTTCCAAATCCTGAGTGTTTGAGAGACAGAAAAATTACTGTCATGTGGCTGGACTGGAGATGATTTGGAGTGCAGGGTCCTCCTGGAACAGGCTCCCCAGGGAATGGTCACGGTTCCAGGACTGCCAGAGCTTGAGGAATGTTTGGAAAATGCTTTCAGGCACAGGGTGGGATTGTTGGGGTGTCTGTGCAGGGCCAGGGCTTGGACTGGATGATCCTGGTGGGTCCCTTCCAGCTCAGGATATTCTGGGATTCTGTGAAAGGAGAAAAGTGCCCCACTGATGAGCTTTGAACGTGGTTTATGAGTTAAAACTTGCAGTGTGTCAGTGCTGACAGAGGGGAAAAGCCAATTCATGTTGGAGACAGGAGGATCTCAATATACAAATGTGTATGGATACACAGGGATCTCAAAAACAAATGTATATGGATACATGTGGATCTCAATATACAAATATATGTCTTTATATACTTTAATATTTTAATTTTGAAACTATTTGTTACGTGTTCAGAAGCAACAGCAAAGGATCAGACAGCCTTGTGGAAACTTGGAATCCCGGAATGGTTTGGGTTGGGAGGGAACTTAAAAGACCTTCCAGTTCCAACCTGCCATGGGCAGGGACACCTTCCACTAGACCAGGTTTCTCCAAGCCCCGTCCAAGCCAGCCTTGGACACTTCCAGGGATCCAGGGGCAGCCACAGCTTCTCTGCCCAACCTGTGCCAGGGCCTCACCACCCTCCCAGCCAACAATTCCTTCCCAGTATCCCACCTATCCCTGCCCTCTGGCAGTGTGAAGCCATTCCCTGTGCCCTATCACTCCATGTCCTTGTCAGATGTCCCTCTCCAGCACTCGACACATGTAAAAATATCCCTTCTTCCAAGGGGTGACAGGAATTTGGCTCAGCCCTGTGGTGACACCAGTCTGTGGATGGTGGTGAACAATCAGCATTTCACACCAGGCCCCGCTGTAACTCCTGCATTCCTGTGCTTGAGTCCCACAGTGACACCACCACCTTATGGGTTTTATTCCTTTAACTGAAATTAGGAGAATAATCCCAAGTTATCCATGGAAAAAAACTAATGGTTCCCCTTGGGCCCTGCTTGTTCCAAGTGGCTGCGTAACCATGTCCAGAATTAACCTTCTGCTGGGCTCCCTCTCCTTTGTGAAACGAGGGTCTAAAAATACTTGGTGTTTGTTCCAGAAAATCCTCGTAATCTCTGGGAGAGAAGATCAGCAGAGGAACAAAAAGTTGATTAAAATATCAGAGCCACCACATGTGGGCTTTCTTTTTTTTTTTTTTTCCTGGCCTTCAGCTGCCGTTGCAGAGTTGTTTTGGAGCGAAGGATTCCTGCCAAGCTTCAGAACCAACCCCAGGTTCAAAACAGGCCACGGGAAGGAATTATTATGTTGTTCTCACCTCATTTCGAAGAAGAAACAACCTTCCCTCTTCTAAAAAACCTCCCAAAAAACCCTGGAAGTGGCACCTGGAAGTGCTCTCCTGGTGTCCTGCCCTGATTGATATGCAGGAAGAGGAGGAAATGTCATCCTGACTCCTCATCATTTCGCTCTAATCGAGCTGATTTTCGAACGTGCCGGTGAAAAGGTGAAATGATGATGATTTGTGCCTGCAGTTCCTTGTGTGTTTTCCAAAAATTAATAGGCTTCTGAAATGGAGGTTATGAGTGGTTCACAGCATTAACAATTACGGCTGAGACTGGAAAATCCTCTGTAAATCACTAGGAAGTCTGGGCCTGAGGACAAGCAAGAGTGAGCTTAATACAATAACACTTTGGAGGGAGGGGAAAAAAAAATTCAATTATTTTCATTAATTGCTTCTTTAGGTGGCATTTGAATTTCATCTTCATTAGCACTGAGCTGTGGTGTTCAGTAATCCAAGTTCAGGAAATGGGAGATGCTTCTCATTTTGATCAAGTGCCAAAAAAGCATCTGTTGAAAAATACCTTTCTCTGGTGTGAAAATGAAGGCACTGGAATTTTTTTAAGAGCAGTGCTCATATTTTATTAATTTTAGGGGGTTGTATTAAATTCATTATTCACCCCAAGTATATTTCCTTCTCCATTATTTTTGCACCCTACCAGGGGATTTGCAGGATTGAGTTGGACACTCTAAACTTTCAGAGCTTGTTGATAAACACTATAAATTCCTCCCTCTCTAAACTCAAGTTTTTATTCCCTCCCTGGCTTTTTAGAGCAGTTCCTTCAGTTCTTTCCCTGCTCTCATCTTGTTTTCTTGACCTTCTGATGCTCATTTGTGTTTGTTCACAAGATGATATTTACCCTGAATAGAAGATGATCTTGGAAATCCTCAGCACTGGACTGTGGGGAAACTTTAAATTGGTTTTATCAATTTTTAACAGCAATAAATATTTGCATAATGCCAACATTTACACAGTCCAAGTGTCTGCACAGGCTGAACTCCTCGTAGCCTGAGAGCCCCCCAGGGCTCTCTTGTCTTGCACATTAAGCTTTTTTATATTAAACAGGGTTAAAAATATCTTTACTGGTTTATATTTGTGATCAGGGGCAAGATGAGACTGTGTCAATGTGCTGCTGCTTCAAAAATATGCAACAAAAGAACGTGGAGAAAACAAATCCAGAAGCAAATCCAAAGAAGAATTGTCCTGAATCAGATAAACTCCAGAGCTGATTTAGATGAACTCCACGCAGCGTCTGTGAGCTCTGCTGGGTTTGTTGGTGACTTTACTCCCCGTTAAACATTTACCAGAGCTGCTTTTGCACCTTTATTTTCACTTTGCACTGGTTGGTGGGGGGTGTTTTCCTCCTCAAACCCGGCTGTTGTTGTGCAAGACCTTTGGCCGAGGCCCGGGAGCTCCCGGTGGCTCTGCTCCGGTGCCAGGGGGATGGTCCTGGTGGCCTCCACGTGAGCCCTTGTTCCCTCAGGAGATGGCAGCAGCTCCCCTTCCTTTCCTTGCAGGTCAGTGTGGCACTTGAGCACCCTGATCTGAGTGTAGGGGTGAGTTGGGATGGAAGGGTCTGATCCCCCTCTCAAAGCAGGTCCGGCTTCAGAGCCCTTTGCTCAAGATTTTGCCCAGTCAGGGTGGGAATTCCTATTTAGGATGGAGATCTTGTTGATCCTGTGGGTCAGTGGTCTAGTGCTGAGCCATCCTCATGTTAAAAAATGATAATAAATAATGAATCTAATACTAATGTCTAATCAGAATCTCCTTTAGAGTGTGTTGCCTGATCCTGTGAACCTCTGGTGGCATCTCCTTCTCTAATCTCTCCTGGGGTAGTTGAGGGCAGCAATTAGATCTCACCCTTCTTCAGCCCTCGCCCCTCCAGGCTAAACAAGCCTCCCTCCTTTTTGCCCAGAGAATCCGTGGCTGCCCCTGGATCCCTGGAAGTGTCCAAGGCCAGGCTGGAAAGGGCTTGGAGCAACCTGGGCTAGTGGAAGGTGTCCCTGCCCATGGCAGGGGGGTGGAATGAGATGGGCTTTGAGGTCCCTTCCAAGCCAACCCAATCTGTGTAATTCCATGGATTCTTCCACCTCTTCTCCTACATCACGTGGTTGTCCCTCCTCTGGTCCCTTCAGTTCTTTGCCAAAAATGATAACCCACCTTGCTGCCTTGGGCACACCTGTCCAGCCCTGGGAACAACAGCACAGGGATGTGGAGCTGCTGGAGAGAGTCCAGAGGAAGCCCCGGAGCTGCTGCCAGGGCTGGAGCCCCTCTGCTCTGGAGCCAGGCTGGGAGAGCTGGGGGGGTTCCCCTGGAGAAGAGAAGGCTCCAGGGAGAGCTGAGAGCCCCTGGCAGGGCCTAAAGGGTTCACCTGGAGAAGAGAAGGCTCCAGGGAGAGCTGAGAGCCCCTTGCAGGGCCTAAAGGGT